AATGGATAATGAAGAAACCATTTCATCATCTCTGTGTGTGTGTGTGTGTGTGTGTGTGTGTGTGTGTGTGTCTAGACCTCCCCAGCATCCCTCTCTAATTCCCCTCCCATTCAACACATCAGTTTTCTCTCTCATTCATTTCGTTTATTTATTTATTTATTTGTATTGTTAGTAGAGACAAGAGTTTCACTATGTTGGTCAGGCTGGTCTTGAACTCCTGGCCTCAAGTGATCTGCCCACCTCGGCCTCACAAAGTGCTGAGATTACAGCCGTGAGCCACCGTGCCCGGCCTCTCTAATTTATTTTTGTCCAGGGATTAAGTATTACTGACAAGATGAACTAGGCTGAGTCAGCTATAGTGAATCCAGATTCTAAGGCAACCTCAAAAAACAAGCAGCTCAGGGCAAGAACTGAAACCTAAGGTTTAATGATTTGATATTTTCCAAAGTCTGAAGTTCTAGGTATTTTTCCAAATGCTACCTGAGGATTTCTATTGCAACTGTGCATTGCTGCCCTGCCAGACAACTGCAGTCAGCATCTTTGGGCTGACTTGGTTTCTGACCCCTCCTGGTTTCAGACCAGGCACTAGCCCTTGAGGAAAATTCAGACTCCCTTGAAGGTGGTCTCACAACCCCACACTCCTTCTAATCAATTCTGCCTCCCCTTGAACTGAGGCAAAAAAGAGGCCAGGTGCGGTGGCTCACACCTGTAATCCCAGCACTTTGGGAGGCCAAGGAGGGCGGATCACGAGGTCTGGAGATTGAGACCAGCCTGGCCAACATGGTGAAACCCGGTCTGTACTAAAAACACAAAAATTAGCTGGGCATGGTGGCACGTGCCTGTAATCCCAGCTACTCGGGAGCCTGAGGCAGGAGAATCGCTTGAACCAGGGAGTCAGAGGTTGCAGTGAGCCGAGATTGTGCCACTGCACTCCAGCCTGGAGACAGAGTGAGACTCCATCTCAAAAAAAAAAAAAAAAAAAAAAAAAGATCGTGATTCTCAGCTAAAAGTACAGAGTAAAGAGAACATGGCAGCAGTGAGAGAGAGGTGAGATGCAGGAGAATCGTTTGAACCTGGGAGGCGGAGGTTGCAGTGAGCCGAGATTACACCATTGCACTCCAGTCTGGTCAACAGAGCAAGACTCCGTCTTTAAAAACAAAACAAAACAAAAAAAAAAAAAAAAAAAAAAAAAAAAAAAAAAACTACCTCTCTCCAACAGCAATACAAAGAGAACTTTTTCTGAGTTGGAACCAAACAAATTAAAAAACAACCATTTCATTCCTGCAGAAAAGCTCAGTAAAATTCAACTTCATGCTTCTAGATATGGCTCTAGAGATGGGATCTCATCTAAAAGAACAGATTTTTAAAAACTGTTTCTAAATTTTGCTCGTCCCAGGCACATTAAGATGGACCCATGACAATTACTAATTCCTCTGTCCATTTATAGAATGTTTAATTGAAATACAATAAATATATAGAAAAGAGCACATGTCATGAGTATACAGCTTGGTGAAATTTATAAGCTGAACATCTCCTTGTTAGCCCCAGATCAAGACCCAGAATGTTATCAGAACCCAGGAAGTCCCCAGATGTGTCCCTTCCATATCCTGGCAGCAAAGATTTAGTAACCGTTCCCCTGACTTCCAAAAGCGAGTCGTTTTACCATTTTTTGTACTTTATACACATGAATCAGATCATGTGTGTTCTGCAACTAACTTCCTTCATTCTACTGTGTTAGTGAGATGAGTCCTTACTTGAGTATAGTTTACACAGTTTTTTGAGGCAAGTTTGCTTTTGAGAATTTAAGGAATGGAATGAAACAAGGTTTCACATGATTAACACAGGCAATTCACTTCTTTCCGATCAACAAGGCATGGCTTATCACAGTATCAAATATCCTAGGACAAATGGCAAAGCTAGCTATAATTTATTTCAACAAGGAGGGAGATGGATAAAGGAGCACTGTTTTGAACAACCTGAAGCTTCTGCTTCATGTTAAGCCTTCTAAAGTATGTTTGCAACAACAAGGTCACTTGGGCTCTCAATTAGCCTGGCTTCTGGCTTCAGCTTGTCTGTGGCCTTAGGTATACTTCTTGTCCTCTGAGACAGAAAAATTTTACTAAATATTACCCTTCTAGTTCTTATAGCCCATGATTCCATGTTTCCAACTCAAATCCCTTGACCATCTATCCACACAGCGATCCTGCCTGCATCCAAACCAGCTGGTACAGAGAAAAGTCACAGTTTTAAGTTAGAAGTAATAAAATCAGTCTAATTTTACAAGGTCTACTGAAGACAATATACCCATGTTATATCCAATAAGCAATTTTTTTTTTTTTTGAGACAGAGTCTCTGTCACCCAGGCTGGAGTGCGGTGGCATGATCTGGGCTCACTGCAGCCTCCCCCCAGGTTCAGGTGATTCTCATGCATCAGCCACCCGAGTAGCTGGGATTACAGGCATGTGCCACCATGCCTGGGTAATTTTTGTGTTCTTAGTAGAGATGGGGTTTCTCCATGTTGGCCAGGCTGGTCTGGAACTCCTGACCTCAAGTGATCTGCCTGCCTTGGTCTCCCAAAGTGCTGGGATTATAGGCATGAGCCACCAGGCCTGGCCTAATAGGCAATATTTTAAACATACAAGTTCTATAACATCCACTTTCTATCTTAAGGTGTTTTAATAGCTTATGTATCTAATAAGTAGACTTTCTTTTTTTCTTTTTTTGAAACAGTTTCACTCTGTTGCCCAGACTGGAATGCAGTGGTGTGACCATGGTTCACTGCAGCCTCGACCTCCCTGGACTTAGGTGATCCTCCGACCTCAGCTTCCCAAGTAGCTGGGACTACAGGCACGTGACACTATAGCCAGCTAGTTTTTTGTTTTTTTGTTTTTTTTCTGTAGAGACGGGGTGTACCCAAGTTGCCCAGGCTGGTCTGGAACTCCTGGGCTCAAGCAATTCACCCACCTTGGCCTCCTAAAGTGCTGGGATTACAGGCATGAGCCACCACATCTGGACCTAATAAGTAGACTTAGAGTGTGGATGAGGATGAAGTGACAGGCCAGGTGATCTATTCTGTCCCCACCTCATAGTCACCTTACTCTTGACATCATTCTAATTGTATTTACACTTGGTGTTGAAGAAAACAAACACAAAAATCTTCATGGGTCAACTTTAAACATATCTTATTTCTAGATCACCATGGATTCATATCCTTTTCTTCCTATTATTTTGTAAATAACACATTTATATTACATTATAATTCAAATATTTTTGTATTGAATTCACCATTTAAAATATATGACAGTTTTTACAAACCAATTTTGACTTTTATTTTCATTTTTTTATTACACTGCAATTCTTTAAAGACAGAAATGCTTCTCAGCCTCAATGTGAGAGGTGCTGCTGGCAGGAAACTGGGAGAATCTGTTCTATTCACTGACCTCATCAAGGACAAAACCAATAGGACAAAGCCTCTGCCTTCAAGAAGAACGCAGTGAAGACAAGACAGTTAATATGGCCACCTTAATTTTTTTCCAAGAAATGTTTTGGAAAACTGACATGATTGGCCTTACCCAGACCTTTTATTTCTCAACAAACTCAAGGAGACAACTCATCCTGAAGTGCTACCCTTGGAAATACCTTCCTAAAAACAATAATAGCAACAAAATAACCAAGAAAATTATTTACTAACCCAATTGGAGAGAATAAAAGGTCATGCTTCAAAAGTTACCATTGCTTTGTTGTCTAAGAACAAGTTTTACTTTAAAAATAAAATGACAAGCCAGGCGCGGTGCCTCATGCCTATAATCGCAGCACTTTGGGAGGCCAAAGCGGATCGCTTGAGGACAGGAGTTTAAGACCAGCCTGGCCAACATGGCGAAACCCTGTCTCTACTAAAAATACAAAAATTAGCTGTATGTGGTGGCACACGCCTGTAATCCCAGCTACTCAAGAGGCTGAGGCATGAGAATCACTTGAACCCAGGAGACGGAGGTTGCTGTGAGCTGAGATTGCACCACTGCACTCCAGCCTGGACAACAAGAGCAAAACTCCAGTTCAAAAAATAAATGAATAAATAAATAAATAGTAAACAGTCACAGTAGAGGAGAGACTGAATTATTTTTTAATTTTCTCTATAGAGAATACTATGAAATCTTGGTCCTATTAAGAGATAATCAAAGAGTATGTAAACAAAAAAGGAATTTTAGAGTATGTTAGGCAGTTAGTAATCATGAAAATATTAATACTGATTTTTTGTTTATGGTATTTTTCAACTCTTTAAAAAATTTGTAACTTGTGATTAATAGTTCTATATAAACATTCAATTTTGTATTAGTTTCATATTTACAATTCTGCATTGTTTTTATTAAACAGGGTCCCCATAATGTATAAACTTCAGGCTCACCAAACCCAGAAGTGTCTAGGTACAACATAAACTCAATATGGAGTGAACAACTAGTTTAGAAAATTCCAAATCTATGGTTTTTTCAGTGTCTTCCATAATGCGACCTCAGGTATTCAACTGACTTACTTGGCCAGTGGAAAGGAGTGGAAATAAAGATTAAGAGGTATCAACAACAGACACCCAGCTGTAGATGGGCCAGAAGAACAAACTCTGCCCCCAGTCTAGTGGTATAGAGGAGACACAGACAGAAACCATTAGCAAGCTTTAAGCAAGGGAGCAAGTGTTTAAGACAAGGAGGCAGGTGTGTGGGCAGGGATCTCATTTATCATTAGAAAGATGGTGATGGTTTGAACCCAGGTGATGTTTCTTCAGGATTGCCACTGTTTTGTGTTGACATTCACCAAGTAGAATGATCTTTGCATTATTGGGTACTTTGGGGCACCCTAAGTATGTAGGAGTCAGAGTTTTACTAGCTTCCCCAGCAATCCTTGCTTAGTCAATTGATTCCTATGTCTGCAGCCAAATGCTATAAAAAACTCCAGGGGAGGTAAACTCCTCCCATCCTCCTGGCTTTTCAATTAATCATTTAGATGGGAAACACAAGCCTACTCAGGTAAAAAGACACGTGAACTTCAGGCCAGGATCACAATCCTGTCCCAAATATATGACTTTTCATCCTCCCTCAACCCTTAATGGGGGTGGGCGTGGGGGAGTGTATTTTTAAAAACAAATGATTTTAATTCATTCACCGTTTCCTAGCAACCAGGAAAAAGCATGTTATCCTGATGTCTGTGAGCACCAGTCTGAGACGCGCGGATGCTCCAGCATGCCTCCAGAAGCAGAGAAAGAACAAAAGCACTGGAATAGGTCTCCGGTTGGTGAGCAATTCTCAAAGGGGAATTTGTTAAGAGCAGGCACCTAATAGAATAGCCCAAGAGACCTAATAGAATAGCCCAAGAGATTGCAGGGGTGCAGCAGGGAACCTGCATGGAATGTGCAGATATTCTCCAGGAAATGATATTCCTATAGAATCTGGGGGCTCTGACTTCTAGGGAATTGTTTCAATGAAACAGTTAAAGCCTGAGACAGCTGACATCTTTCCAGTACCTCTTTTGTGTGTGCTTTCAGCCACACACAAAACACACAGCGGTCTTGTTTTCTTTAGAGCTCTATAGTCAGAGAAGAGGGGTAACTGGCAGAATTCAGATCTAGCTGAATCAGAGTCTGTGCAAATGGCCTTCTTTAAACCAGGCGTAGCTACTAAATGCCTATAAATCACTCACTTCTACAGCTGTAAGGAATCTCTCCAATCATGCAATGCTTTTTTTTACAGAGGAAGAAATGAAGAAACATAGAGAGGCAAATTAATTTGTTCAAGGTGCACAGCTAGTTGGTGGCCTCACAGGGTCTTCTGAGCTACAGCTTAGTGGTTTGGGAGTGGGATATACTCATATTTTAAAGATCGAAACCTTTGCATATTATACTATATTGAATGGCGGTGGTGGGGGGCAGGGGATGGGGAGGATGAGGGATGATCTAAGAGGAAGCTGTCACAACAACCGAGCAACGCAAATATTATAACTTGTAAGTCTGAAACTCAAAGGGCTTGCTCAGAATTACAAGACAAGAATGGATTAAAGCACATGCTAAGTGTGCCTTAGTCCCCTTCAAGGAATTGAGATAGGCCAAATAGTCTAGCAACAAATGTTTTTCCAAATTATTGAATCAGAAGAATTTTAATGCATGCCAGACTTTATAGAGTTACAGAATGTTGGGGTAACAAGTGCTCTAGGCAATGTTAGCCAGGCCCATCTTTTTAGGATAATACCTGAGGCTGGGAAGCAGAAGATGCACAGCCACGTCAACGAGTGTGGCTTTCCTGGGTCCAGTGCTCTTTCTTCTCTAGGCAATGGGGCCACCTCTATGGCTTGCTGCATTCTCTCCCCGTTGACTCTGTAGGGGGCAATATTATTGTCTTGATACTTAATCAATTTCCTGTGAAATGCTCTTACTTTCTTCCCACTTTCATCTTATCCATATGCCGTTTACTCCCCAAAAACTGAAGCAGATGTAGCAGCAGCAAGAATGATCCAAAATGGCCGGGCACGGTGGCTCATGCCTGTAATCCCAGCACTTTGGGAGGCCGAGGCGGGTGGATCACAAGGTCAAGAGATGGAGACCATCCTGGCCAATGTGGTGACACCACTCTGTCTCTACTAAAAATACAAAAAAATTAGCTGGGCATGGTGGCATGCACCTGTAATCCCAGCTACTTGGGAGGATGAGGCAGGAGAATCGCTTGAACCCAGGAGGCGTAGGTTACAGTGAACCGAAATTGTGCCACTGCACTCCAGCCTGGCAACAGAGTGAGACTCTGTCTCAAAAAAAAAAAAAAAAAAAAATTTATCCAAAATAACGAAGGTGGACTAGGGAATACTTTATTTAGATCAGCGCCATCCTGTTTGCTCTTTGCTTACTGTTAGTAGAGCTGAATCAAGTGAAGCTTATATGGTACCATTTTTTAAAAAACCGTGTCTAAAGTTTGTTTTCCAATCATCTTTAGAGTAGTGATTTAAATACACGTACAATTTTAAAAGTACAAAGGGTAGTATAATAAACACCCATAGGTTTAGAATTCTGGAGTCAATAACTACTAACATTTTGTTATATTTGAGTATTAGGGTTCCTCAGAGAAATTGAACTGACAGGATGTGTGTGGATACACACACACACACACACACACGGTGCAGTATAGGCTTAACCATCTCTTTTGCTCAAATATTTTGATTTTAAGGAATTGGTTGACATGATTGTGGGGTCTTGGCCAGTCCAAAATCTGATAGAGGAGGCCAGCTGCCTGCAGACTCAGGGAAGAGTTGCAGTTTGAATCCAAAGGCTACCTACTGGCAGATTCCTTCTTGCATGGGGGAGGTCAGTCTTTTGTTCTATGAAGGTTTTTGACTGATTGGACAAGGCTCACTCAGATAGAGGGCAATCTGCTTTCAAAATCCACTGAATTAAATGATAATCTCATCAAAAAACACCAGAAACATCCGGGATAATGTCTGAACAACTATTTGGTCATAGTGGCCCAACCATAAAATAAATTTAAAAATAAATAAAACATCACAGATAGTGGCCCAACCATAAAATAAATTTAATAATAAATAAAACATCACAGATAGATACCCTATTTATACCTCTCCCTGAGTACCCCATTCAACAGTGATGATTTTCTACAGACTCCTTTTTGATGACTTCAGACCTCTTTTGACCCCATCACCTGATCTTCAATTTCTGGTTCAGTGCAGGGGTGGGAATTGAAGACATATTTCCCATAACCACATTTTCTTCCAAGGACCTCCTGGCCATAGGAGGGTATAGATGGAGTCTATGGAAAACTGCATTATGAGCCACTGAGCCAGGGTGAACTCACTGGGAGTTATGCTCACAGAAAAACCCAAACGCATTTAGATCTAGATGGATCACATCCATCTAGTTTGGATGGTTCTGCCCGAATAGTCTCATCAGCTATTACACAAACCATTTTGGTTTTACTTGCTAGATTATTGCAAGGAAGAGTAAATTAAGTAAATAAGTGCTGGAAAAATTTGGAAGGAATAAAAGGTATCAAATACAAAGTACAGTGCATGAGCCTCCAGGCAGCTTTTTGACCTCGAATCTGCTGAATAAGAGGCCTGAATGAGGTGCTCCCTCGGATCCCTTCCAGAGCCTAGGACTCCATGACTGGTATTTGGAGTGATAGCATCCCTAACTCAAATTCTCTCTGATTTGCTGCTGTAGCCTCTAGGCTCAGAGAAGCTGGGTCTTCCCACAGGATCTCAAGTGTACTGTTAGCTGCAGATACCTGCTCAGCTGGCTAAGCCTTTAACATGGAAAGAAGGCTCATAAAGAAGGAAATGAAAAAGCTCTTGTAAGTATGATTGAGAATAACTTTCATTTATGACACTTGGCATTCAGTGGATTTCATGTCATAGATGGCTTGGGTATTGGCAGCGGGTAAAAATCAAAGGAAGAATCTATTTCTGCATGGTAGGAGAAAACCAGAGGGTGATCTGGCCTCTCTCGGTCTCCTGCCAGGGAGGCCTCACATGTGGTGCAAGGCAGGATGCTGAAACTTTTGGGAGGATGTTTCTGCTGGCAGCCTGCACATTCAAGGCATCTGCGTTCTAGAGCCTGAGAGCTGAGCCTATGTCCCAGTCAGCCTGTGTAGGCAGGATGCACCGTTGAAAGGGTCTGCCTCTGCTGGTAAAAGGTATACGAGAGATTCCTGAAAGGGCCCAGCATCTGAATTGCAGCCTCCTGCTCTGCCTCTTTTATTGTCAGCCTTATTGACTAAGAAATTCATCTCCTTTTTCTTGACATCTGACCATTTTTAAAACAAACACAGAAAACATCAAGTTTCCTTTGAAAGAAATGTTTTCCTCCCATGGTAGTTTTTTTTTGACTTGTACTTAACGAATGTTGGTGAAAGATCACAAACCATATAAAAAGAAAAAAGAAAGATTATGTTCTATCTCATATGTGTTATAGACACAACAGTAATACCCTTTTCATAAAAAAGCTATCACCATCCCCATCAAATATCTTTTCTTGGCCTTCTAAGATAATTTTAACAAGCCCTTAAGAAATACTAGAAGAAACTATGAATTTACATATATGTACATATATACATGTATACACATATGTGAATTCATATATAGTACACGTGCACACATATATGTGTATGCACATGTATGTGAATTCATATTCATCTCTTGCTTTTAAGCGGAGATTATATTGGCATCAGACTTCAGGAAAATGAATTTGACCCAAAAGGAAGAAGGGAACTTACCTTTCTAGATTATATGGTAAAGAAAGGCACACTGATGCGAGTCATATTTGTGTTATATGTTAGAGACCAATAGAATAATAAAGAACAAACCATGATCAGGAATGCCAACTCTTCCACATATCTCATCCAAAGATTTGGAATTTCAAAAGTGATATAAATACAAGTTTATATCCAAAGAATACATTTAGGCTACTTTAAAGTATCCTGAAATTTCAGTAGAAATTTAAGAATTTTTATCAATCTAGTTAAGCTTAGTGACTCAGAAGAAAAGATTTTAGAAGCCAGAAATAAACTTATTCTCCACCTTACGTAAAATTGTGAGATGTGCCGAAATCAACCTGGGAGATGCCATAGTCCTTCTTTTCCTGCACGCATTTCCTCTCTCTGACATTCCCAGGGTAGCACCTCTCTCTCTTCTCTCCTCATGGTGCTTATTTTACCTTCTTTTCTTAAAAGTCACTGTTAGGAAAGGATCTGCTAAGGATAAACTAAAGTGGAATCACTAATAAGTTTTCATGCACTCCTCCTCCTAAGGGTATTTGCATTCTAAAGAGAAAAAACCTTATGGAAAAGAATACTTACCTACAGAATTTTATGTATCTGGAATTTATCAACTTTGGACATGCTGCTTGAATTTAACATGGGAAGCAAATGATTATTTTAAACAGTGTGTCTCAATCCTTTTGGTCTTGTAAAACCATTTCTGTGTGTGGGGTATTTGGCATATTATTTACTTTCCTGTAAGTTCTGTTCCAGTTGAGTTTAATTTTTAGATAAATGTTATTTCAGCTAATTATGGTTAGACATTTTAAACTGCAGCACTGTAGAATTACCATGTAAACCAAAACTGAATATTAACTCAGCTACCAGAGTATCAGCAACTTCTGTTGTATTTTGGTGGAGGAGGGAGGGATGGGGAAAAAAAAAAGCCTTTTTCTGCAGACTGAGCCTGTGTCACTTCAATGGTTCAATGCTGCTCTCTTGCTTTTAAGGGGAGATTATATTGGCATCAGACTTCGGGAAAATGAATTTGACCCAAAAGGAAGAAGGCAACTCACCTCTCTAGATGATATGGTAAAGAAAGGCATGCTGATGCGAGTCATATTTGTGTTATATGTGTATTAAAGAGACAGAAAAAGGATCTAATTTATACAATAAACAAGGCTAATATTGACACCCATCCCCCAAATGTCCTCTTCCTCATCTTCTCCTCACCCTGAGATTGTTCATATGGTCATTTCAACCCACTAACCAGAAGGCAAAAAGAGAATGAGAAAATAAAAATCATGAGAGTTATTTGCTATTAGGAAAGAAGATTAAAAAGCAAAATCAATGCAAGGCAAAATGTTACATCCGTGGAGTTAAGAGTTTGATAAAATTAGCTATCACGTAGTTCTCAAAATAATTTCTTTACCATTTGCATCAGTGGGGGAAAACCAAATAAATTAAGTAACCCTAAAAATCCTTGGTGTTATTTATTTTGAAACCCAGACTCAGGATCTGAAAGTTCACATCACAGAAATTAAGGAAGAAACCATATAAAGATCTAACTCAAAAGAAATCAGCACACCCTGTTTTTCCACTGCCCATTTACTATCCTTGCACTAATAAAAAAGACTCTGTCCCTCCACTCCCCTCTCCTCTTCTTCTCTGACTAAAGTAGAGTCAGTCTCACTGGCTTTCAAAACTACCCTGGAGCTAAGGAAACAGTTAACCCTTATTCTCTCTGTACACATATTAAACAGATAAATTAAGTAGATTAGAGCAGTGCTTCTCAAACTTTAATGAGGTCATATTACAAGGCTGTTTTGATTCAGGAGGTGAAATGGGGTGGGCCCACGGCCTAGGAATTTGCATTTCAAATGAGCAAACAGGTGATGCCAAGGCGTCAAACCTCGGATCAGGTTGCAACAACTGGTCATGGTCCCATTCTTCCTGTTTATTTATTCATTTAGGTTCCCTGTTCAGTTTGGTTCAGTCCCTGGAAGAAATAACTCCACTGTTTAAAAATGTTAAAACTTAAGAACGCCTCTACAATAATTAAAAACAAAACCAATCTTCCCTTTTCTGTGTGTGGGGACTGAAAGGAGAGAAGGAATATTTTGATAGACAAATGGTAAATATGCTTACTGAACAGGAACTCTTAGGAATTACTAGGAAAAGGTGGTCACTAGGATAAAAATGAGCCTCTGCATTGGTTCTCAGCTTTTTACTGTGTGTGCGTGTAAAACTCTCAGCAAGTCACTTACTCAGGTCTATCCCGCTCCCCGCCTGCCCCATCCTTGCTTCATTATAGTTCCTCTACCTGTGATTTCCTTCCCCATCTGTAGACATTCTCATCCCACAAGCCCCAGCTTCAATGAAGCTTTCGTCTCTGAAGCTTCTTGGGATTCTAGCTATCTCTCCAGGTAGACATAAAATGGCCCATCCTTCCAAATTCTCACCACACTGCCCCTGCAGCCCTGGAAGCACATTTCTTACATTCTACTCAGGGAACCAGAAATTGTTCCCTGCAGCCCTGGTCCCCCAGCCTTACCTTTTTCTATTTTAAAATTTAGGGAAACTGAGGCCCAGAGAGCATCAGTTACTCACCTAAGGATATTCCATGAGTTTTTGGCAATACCTAGATTTGAGCCCAGATTTTCTGATTCCAAGTTTATAATTCTTCACTGATCTCTCCTTTCGTTTCCAAATCACAGAAATCAGATAACTGCTCTAGTGGGAAATAAATGTAATGTCTGAAGATCCCAAAATATTTCTGACTGATTCATCCCTGTGAGGTGAGGTCTGAGAAAAAAAAAAAAAAAATCTGTCTGAGCATCAGGTTATTAAAGCTAATGATCCTTCCCATTTTGGACATGACAGACTAGAATAGGCTTAGCAGTACCATTGCCATTGGGTCCAGAGAGTACTTCAGCCAATGTCTAAGCCTGTTTCTTTGCTTTCTGTGCTTCTTGCTCCCAGGCACACTATGACTTGGCCATCAGTGTTGCTTTGCAATGGCTGCATCCCTCAGAAGACTTAACTTGGTTGGAGTGGGAGGAACTGTAAGTTGAAATAGGTTTGTTGCTTTCCTCTTTAATTTGTGCCTATGATTAACGATTGAGGAAGTTCCAGCCCTAACATCTTCCATCATGAGGCACTCTGCTTTGAAAACACTACAGGGTGAATATCCCCTTCAACGAGACACCTGAGGAACCTCCACAGTTGCCAACTTGAAGAAGTTACATGTTTCCATGTTTTGCATCTCTACCAATTGACTTCTGTGAGATAAAAGACTTTCTTGCACAGAATGTTGTATCTTAAGGGGCCAGGTGCGGTGGCTCATGCCTGTAATCCCAGCACTCTGGGAGGCCGAGGCAGACTCATTACTTGACGCCAGGAGTTCAATACCAGCCTGGCCAATATGGTAAAACCTCGTCTCTATTAAAAATACAAAACTTGGCCGGGCGCGGTGGCTCAAGCCTGTAATCCCAGCACTTTGGGAGGCCGAGACGGGCGGATCACGAGGTCAGGAGATCGAGACCATCCTGGCTAACACGGTGAAACCCCGTCTCTACTAAAAAATACAAAAAACTAGCCGGGCGAGGTGGCGGGCGCCTGTAGTCCCAGCTACTCGGGAGGCTGAGGCAGGAGAATGGGGGAAACCCGGGAGGCGGAGCTTGCAGTGAGCCGAGATCGCGCCACTGCACTCCAGCCTGGGTGACAGAGCCAGACTCCGTCTCAAAAAAAAAAAAAAAAATACAAAACTTTGCCCAGCATGGTGGTGCACACCTGTACTCAGGAGGCTGAGGCAGGAGAGCAGAATCACTTGAACCCAGGAGGCGGAGGTTGCAGTGAGCCAAGATTGTGCCACTGCACTCCAGCCTGGGCAACAGAGTGAGACTCCATCTCAAAAATAAAGAATGCTCTGTGTTAGAAACATGACTGCTTTACTGTGTACATGCCATAATTTCAAACAGTCAGTTCTACGGTTAAAGGCTGTAATCTTTTCCTAAGGACTACCAAACACAAATTCTTAAGCATTTAGGCAGATATGTATCTCAGCTGAGCTATTTGAAGCGCAGAATAATTTTCTTTCTGGGATTACTGGCATTTTCTGTCGTGTGTAGGGAGTGTACAGGCAGATTCACTCAATTGGTAAGAACACAGAACTAATGAGGACAGGATCAAATCGCTTATTCCAGAGGCCTGTTATTTTTTTTTCTACTCAATGGCTCTGGACTACACACTTGATCCTAGAGAGATGTAACAGGGTTTAGCTGCAATGAGCAGAAAATCCAATTTGAACAGCCTTAAGCAAAAAAAGGTGGGGAGTAGATTTTATTGCCCTTGAATCTGAAAAGTCCACGGGTAGGACTGTGTTAGGCATGGTTTAATTCAAAACTCAAACAATGTCATATGGATCTACCTCTTGACTCCATTTCCTCAGGGTGAACATCATTTCTAGTTTCAGCCTATTTCATTATCAGAGTAAGGGTGGAGATATATGTATACACACACACACACACACATATATATATATTTTTTTTTTCATCACATAATTGTGTCTCAGTGGCTGTTACCTGACTTGTCTAGGGTTGGACAGTGGCAGTGCAGGGGAGGTAGAATACACTGACAGCTCAGTCCACAGTGTATTTTTCACCTTTGGAATCTAGGGGTGTAGTGGGCTCCCCTAGAAGCATATAGGCTTACAGTGGGGTTAGGTAGTTTCCCCAAAGCAAATTGCCACAAGAACGGGAAAGGATAATGGTTCACAAAACCGTAAACATCCCCCACAGTGGCCAGTCTGCCAGTCTTTGACTGCTGTGAAGACATGGATAGATGAGGCCAAATTCATCACCATTATTGGAAGGTTAAAAATTCAAAGTTTGGATTTCACCGATGGAGGAACAATCACATCAGTTTTATTAAGATAAATAAGCGGATAGCACACAGCCATTGCAGATTACTTATCGATTATCATCACAACCTCAGCAGGCATCAAAAAGAACAAGAATAAATCCTCCACTTGTATTTCCTATTCCCCATTAGGAAAATGCCATTCCGTGGCAGACCCATGTATCCAAATCGTAGAGAACGAGAAGCTATGATTTTATCATCTTATGCTGGAATCTTAATGGTAAGGAAAAGAATATCATTTGCCTATATGAATATTTCACATCTACTCTGAGCATTTTTACAGTAATGAATATTTACATTATTTTTCAACCAATGTTTCTAAATGTTTAGGAGTTACTAATAGTAAATGCTTCATTTTTTAACGTAATAAAAAGACTAACTTCTAAACTGTATATGAGAACATTTATTTAAGAGGCAAAGAAAAAAGAAAAGAATGAGAGACATAACTAATTGGTATCTGGAAAACTGATTCTTCCATTGATCAGAAGTTATTTACTGTATTTAGTACTTATGATACCCAAGCACAGTTTTAGACATGCTGGAGCTATACTAGCTTTGTGTTGTAATAAAAGAAAAGCCATGGTATGATCATACTTTGTTAATGCTGTTGTTGTTTAACAGAACAGTATCCCGATTGAGGAAGTCTTTAGAATTTATGGGGCTGATTCTTCTGCCAGTTCTGGTACCATCAAGGTAAGGGTGACCCGGGATTGTCAATATAAGGGATTTTTAGAGAGAATTTATTTAGTGTATAAATGTATAATGTCGTATTTTCAGACATCAATTACGAAGTAACAGTTTTGCATCAAAATGTACAAAACCAGACATAATCATTTCTTACCTGAATAACATGTTTATGAAATGCCTTTCATATGTAAAAGACCACGCAGTAATAACAAATGTGTCTCATGTAAGGCTGAGAAGCGTCAGCAAAGAGGCAGCAAAGAGAGTACCAGGCTTGGGGGCCGAATTTTATTCTGCTGTGGTTTTGGGTTTTTTTGAGATGGAGTCTTGCTCTGTCACCCAGGATGGAGTGTAGTGGCGCGATCTCGGCTCACTGCAAGCTCCGCCTCCCGGGTTCACGCCATTCTCCTGCCTCCGCCTCCCGAGTAGCTGGGACTACAGGCGCCCATCACCATGCCCGGTTAATTTTTTGTATTTTTAGTAGAGACGGGCTTTCACCGCATTAGCCAGGATGGTCTCCATCTCCTGACCTCATGATCCACCCGCCTCAACCGCCCAAAGTATTGGGATTACAGGCGTGAGCCACCGCTCCCAGCCAACACTACTTTTATTAAAGACGGGTATCACTACTGGTCTCAAATTCCTGGGACCCAGTAATCCTCGAAATCCTGGCCTCAGCCTCCTAAGTAGCTGCACTGCAGGTGTGAGCTCCACTCCCAGCTCCTCCCATGAAACTACTTTGAAATCATTAGCAGTAGAAGCAGCAGTGACCTGGGAGTTCAGAAACCTGGGTTTGAGTTCTGACTCCACGACTATGAAACCCTAGATGCATCCCTTTCCTCCTTTGGGCCTCCATATGACTGATCTTAAAAAAAAAAAAAAGGTGTTCTGATTAATGTTTAAGACCACTTCCATTTTTGACACTTGTAAATGAATGAACATTAAGTAAACATTTAAATATGAACTGCTATTTAGAGGTGAACTACTGATCCCTTCACCTTCGGATACCTCTAGAAGAGGGAAGAGGGAAGAGGAAAAGGAAGGTGGGGTGGTGAAGGCCATGCAGTGGGAAGGAGGAAGGGGGAGAACCAACGCCCTCATGCCCAGGTCTTCTGCTCACACTGTGGCTTTCCCCGCCCCCACCTGGATTCAGAAGGGAGGGCAGGGCAGGGGCAGGGCCGGGCCACAGGAATGCCTGCCTCCCTTGCTCTTTTACTGCAGATCATTGTGCAAGCACTGGGGTCATGTAGAGTTCAAGAGCCCACCAGGTCCACCTTAGGAGTCAAGTGTTTACATCAAAACCAACCTTCCTATCACCTTAATCCATATGTAACCTGACTGCAGTCCTGAGACTCAAATGCCCTTGATGATTGTGAAAATCAGAACTTTCTCTCTGATCCCTCTCGTTTAACTCACTTCATTCATTCACTCATTCATTCATTCATTCATCTGTTCATTCAGTATAATTGTAGGTGCAGGGGACACAGTGGTGAGCAAGTCAGACAAGGTAACTTTTTAAGAACTTTTTTTGTAGGCAGGGCGCAATGGTTCACGCCTGTAATCGCAGCACTTTGGGAGGCCAAGGTGGGTGGATCACATGAGGTCAGGAGTTTGAGACCAGCCTGGCCAACATGGTGAAACCCCAACTCTACTAAAAATACAAAAAATTTGCCGGGTGTGATGGTGGTCGCCTGTAATCCCAACTACCGGGGAGGCTGAGGCAGGAGAGTCTCTTGAACCCAGAAGACGGAGGTTGTGGTGAGCTGAGATCACGCCACTCCACTCCAGCGTAGGCAACAAGAGCGGAAACTCTGTCTCAAAAATAATAATAATAAAAAAATATTTTAGGGATGGGGTCTCCCTATGTTCCACAGGCTGGTCTTGAACTCCTGGGCTCAAGCAATCCTCCCACCTTGGCCTCCCCTAGTGCTGGGATTACAGGCATGCACCACCACACCCAGCCAAGATTACTTTTCCTATAGATCTTATATCCTATATTGGAGCTTACCTTGTCTGACATATAAGCCACCCCAGGCCTGACCCTCCTCAGAGATCAAGATGTTGGTTTTCAAAGAAAGCCCAGTTCTCTGTGTTCCTTGGATAGCCAAGCAAATCATACTGCTTCATTCCTGCTTGCCTTTTTCTGCAGCTTTCTCCCTTCTAGGCTGCCCTTTCTCCTTTTCCCCTACCCCTCAGCACATATACCTGCAAGCGTGAGCCCCAAACCCTTCTGTTTCAGTCACTGTTTTCTTCCTGTCATCTTCTGGTACCTGGGAAAGGTCTAGAAAGGTATCAGCACATCTGACTGGTTGGTCCCAACTCACATGACCGAAAGATTAATATGGAAAATCACATCCTCGAGAGGATGGCACTGTGGACCCCTCCAGGCTTGGCTGGGTTATCATTCAAGAAGGTTTGCAAACATGGGTGTCTGAGTAGCTCAGATAAATCAGGTTCATTTAAAGTTGCTAGAAGGCCAGGCATGGTAGCTCACACCTGTAATCCCAGCACTTTGGGAGGCAGAGGTGGTTCGATCACCTGAGGTCAGGAGTTCGAGACCAGCCTGGCCAACATGGTGAAACTCTACCTCTACTAAAAACAGCGGGACATGGTGGTGCGTGTCTGTAATCCCAGCTACTTGGGAGGCTGAGGCAGGAGAATCCCTTGATCCTGGGAGGCAGAGGTTGCAGGGAGCCCAGATTGTGCCACTGCATTCTAGTCCGAGAAACAGAGCAAAACTCCGTCTCATAAAGAAATAAATAAATAAAGGTGCTAGAAGGGGAAGACAGACCATGTAGAGGTGGCCCAACCAATCTCTACCTATCCATCTGATCACTCATTTATTCATTAAAGAGCCTTTGTTCAGCACCTTCTCTGTTCAGTGACACATAGTCCCATTCTCGCAACCAGTGACAATAACCAGCTCAGAACAGAGAGAGATAATATTGTCACAGGGGCTGACTTTTCTTTAAAGCCTTGTATTTGTTTTTTGTCTTAGTTTTTGTTTGTTTGCTGTTTTTTTCTTGAGACAGAGTTTCCCTATTGTTGCCCAGGCTGGAGTGCAATGGCGCAATCTTGGCTCACTGCAACCTACGCCTCCCGGGTTCAAGTGATTCTCTGCCTCAGCCTCCTGAGTAGCTGGGATTACAGGCATGCGTTACCATGCCTGGCTAATTTTGTATTTTTAGTAGAGATGGGGTTTCGCCATGTTGGTCAGGCTGTTCTCGAACTCCTGATCTCAGGTGATCCACCCGCCTCAACCTCCCAAAGTGCTGGGATTACAGGCGTGAGCTACTGCACCTGGCTGCTTGTATTTGTTTATTGCTATGTGATGTGAATAATGGCTCGACTTTATATACACGCACACACACACAAACATACTATATATACATACATGTGTGTATATATATAATTGAGCCATTGATTACTATACTACGATATATGTATACATATCTGTATATATGTATACATATGTGTATATGTATATATAATATACAGATATGTATACATATGTATATATACTATATGTATATGTAGTATATATATAGATGTTATCCGAGAGGCAGATTGTGTAATGTTAAGCACTAGGATTCCAAAGCCTGGCCTCCTGGGTTTGAATCCCAGCTCCACAGTTACAAGCAGAATAATTCTGGGCAAATGATCTAACCTCTCTAATTCTCAATTTCATTTGTAAAAACAGGGACGCAAAGATGGGGTTGTTGTGGGAATGAAGTAAGTTAGAATCAGTGAAGCCCTTAGTGTTTGGCACATGGTAACCTCCAAATAATAGCTTTAATTAAAGTTCTGGTACTCAGGGAATGGAGGTCTGGGGCTGTCCTGTGCACTGTGGGATGTTTCACAGCATCCTTGGCCTCTACCCATTAGATGCAAGTAGCTTCTCGCCAGTTGTGACAATTAAAAATGTCAGCCCGGTGCCATGGCTCACGCCTGTAATCCCAACACTTTGGGAGGCCGAGGCGGGTGTATCACTTGAGGTCAGGAGTTCAAGACCAGCCTGGCCAACATGGTGAAACCCCATCTCTACTAAAAATACAAAAATTAGCCGGGTGTGGTAGTGGGTGCCTGTAATCCCAGCTACTCAGGAGGCTGAGGCAGGAGAATTGCTTAAACCCAAGAGGCAGAGATTGCAGTGAGTGGAGATAGTGCCACTGCACTCCAGCTTGGGCAACAGAGGGACACTCCATCTCAAAAAAAAAAGAAAAGTCTCTAGACTTTGCCAAATGTCCCCAGGGAGGCAAAATCACATGAGATTGAGAACTACTGCTCTAAATATTCAAAAATTAAATAGCTAATCAAGTATCCACGTGTATTATTAACACAATGTGAACTTTGCCTCTTTTGGACAACCAGTTATCACAGAGGGTGTAATTTGAGTTACCAATACGAGAGCCTAAGAGTCTGAGGATCTGCCCCGTGAGCCTCACAGGCTCCCCACTTCCAGAACGCCAGTTCAGGCCTTACTCTTGGAGCTACACATCAGCTGCACTCAGGGACTTTTGCCACATCTTGAATTAGGAATTAGCAGAACCTCTCAATAGGAATGTAGCATTTCTAAGACTGAATTGTAAGGCTATTTTAAGAATCTTTTGGAATTTAACATAATTTCAAAAAATGGTTTTAACTAGAAAGAGGAGTTTAAAAAAAAAAAAAAGATATTGCCAGAGATTCTTCTTTAATTGTTACATATATCTGAATGATTCCTTCCGATAAAATGTCTCCTAAGCAACGGCTAAAATCCTTCCCAACCAAAAGCTTAAAACTCTGTTGAATACTAATCAGATTATGTAGAATTTCCTGCAACTGGAATTGGCCACATGACACAATATGGGTACTGTGCTAGGCTTGATGACTTTCTCCGGGAGTATGTGCTGCCACCTGATGGTAGAAAGGCGTCATAGGCGCGGGATTGCTCACCAACTCAGCCTCAGGTCCTACCTCCTGAGAGGGAGCGGATTTTTGCTGTAGGGAGCTTTTTTCTGCTGAGGATTCTGGACTCCTAGAAAAAAATCAACTAAAGGCGTTATGCAAGTGAGGGTTATTGACAACTAGCCCCGGATAAATATAAAATGTCTTACTCTTTTTTTTTTTGAGACAGAGTCTCACTCTGTCACCCAGGCTGGAGTGCAGTGGTGCCATCTTGGCTCACTGCAACCTCTGTCCCCCGGGTTCAAGTGATTCTCCTGCCTCAGCCTCCTGAGTAGCTGGAATTACAGGTGCGCGCCACTGTGCACTGCTAATTTTTTTAAATTTTTAGTAGAGAGGTTTTGCCATGTTGTCAGGGCTGGTCTTGAACTCCTTACCTCAAGTGATCCACCCCTCCTTGGCCTCCCAAAGAACTGGGATTACAGGCTGAGCCACCGCACCCAACCGTGTTTTATTCGATTTTAACCTGAAGAAAAGAGAACATAAATCTTCCTTCAACAAATCAAACAAAAATAAAAATATTCTTCAGCTCCATTTGATGGAGAAAGAGAGAGACAGAGAGAGTGGAAATGAGCACATCAGAGAGAGAAAAGAGACAAAGGCAGGTGGTCAGACAGCACTAGAACCTCTGCTTTCCTTCTTTCTTCATGAAGCCGGACCCCAGCGTCTGACTGGCTATCATTTGAGTCCATCTGACTGGCTATCATTCGAGTCCATCCTAACTGACATCCAAGTCCAGAGCATGTCACAGGCAAACAGACTGATGTCCAGTCCCAGCTTTGTCACTTGCTAGCTGTGTGTCTTCAGATAAGTTATTTCTCTCCGAGTCCCAGTTTCCCCATATGTAAATAGGCATGTCTAAACAGGCATGATTATACTTCCCCAAACACACCTGATCACTCTGAGGACTCATCAAGATCGCACATATCGAGCACACGATGGTGGCACCAGGGGACCTTCCATTTTAGTGCTGTTATTTCCAAGTTCACCCCCACTCGGATGGCCAGCCTCCTTCCTCCTGACAGCAGCCTGGTCCCTTCGTGATAGGCCTGGCTTCCACCCTCTCACACTTACTCCAGTAATTTGCCAAGCATCTTCTCTTTTTGGAGGATGCTGACTCAGACTGAATTGTGCAGAAATTTTAAAATGTTTTCATGATAAGGGGAGGGACCTATGTTTGAAATAAAAGTTCAACATTGACAGATCTTAATCATGAGGAATTGGCCGGATGCAGTACCTGTAATCCCAGCCCTTTAAGAGGCTGAGGCAGGAGAATCACTTGAGCCCAGGAGTTCGAGACCAACCTAGGCAATGTGGCAAAAACCTGTCTCTATCAAAAAATACAAAAGTTTGCTAGGTGTGGTGTTGTGTGTCTACAGTCCCTGCTTCTTGGGAGGTTGAGATGGGAGGATCATTTGAGCCTGGGAGGTGGAGGCTGCCGGGAGCCAAGATCTCGCCACTGCACTCTAGCCTGGGTGACAGGGTGAGACCCTGTCTCAAAAATAATAATAATAGTAAACGAGGGATTAAAAACACACTTTCAATATTAATTGTGTCCAAATGAACACTTAACAATATATATTTAAAGGACAAAGACCAAGCAAACCAACAAATCCAAGTGTGTAAAATGGAACAGTATCAACAGCTTTAAAGTTCTCTGTATACCCTCTCCTGTCTCATACCCTTCCTTTCGCCCTAGGTTACCACTATTTTGAATTATGTGTTGATTACTATATTTTACCTCTTTATAGTTTTACCACATATGCATCTCTAATCTATATATTGTTTAAGTTTGCACAACTTTTTGAGTTTTTATAAATAGAATATTAGCAAATGTGTCATTTAATGGTTTTCTTTTTTTATTCAACATTATGTTTGAGAAACTTATTAATACTGCTGCACTAACATAGCTATAGTGTCTTTTCACTACATATAGTATTCCACTCTAGGAATATACCACAATGTTGTCATCTATTTTTCCATTTCAGGCACTTGAGTTTTTTTTTTTTTTTTTTTTTTTTTTGAGATGAAGTTTTACTCTTGTTGCCCAGGCTAGAGTGCAGCGATGCCATCTCGGCTCACTGCAACCTCTGTCTCCTGGGTTCAAGCAATTCTCCTGCCTCATCTTCCCGAGTAGCTAGAATTACAGGCATCCGCCACCACACTCACTTAATTTTTTTGTATTTTTAGTGGAGATGGGGTTTTGCCATGTTGGCCAGGCTGGTCTTGAACTCCTGACCTCAGATGATTCACCCGCCTCAGCCTCCCAAAGAGCTGGGATTACAGGCATGACCTACCACGCCTGGCCGAGTTATTTCTTGCAAAAGCAAAAAGCGTTGCACAGCAAAAGAGTTTCTGTGTGGTATATGCCTAGGAATGAAATTGCTAAGCCATGAGTATAAGCATCTTCAACTCTCTACATAAAGCTAAATTGCTTTCCAAAATGGTTGTGCCAATTCTATTTCTACCAGCAATGCAGGTTATCTACATTGGCTTTTTCAGTTTTGTCAGTCTGTTAAGTGTATTATGGTATTTCACTGTGGTTTAAATTTGCATTCCCCTGATTACCAATGGACAACTATTCACATGTTTCTTCTTCTGTAAAGTGCCTGTTAAAGACTTTTGGCCAGATGAGTGAACCAACATTTCTGCATTAGGTGGGCAGGGGGAGCTCTGCCAGCAAGGGAGAGTGGGAATGGGAGGACATCAGGAGACATTTCTCAGAAGCGGTGACATTTGAGTTACATGGTAAAAGAGAGGTAGGTGCCTCTGGGCAGAAAAGGAGGAAATGGCTATAAAGGGAACTATGTGAAGAGTATCTGTGTGTGACAGGGCATTCTAGGCAATGGGAACCAAGTATAGGAACAAAAGGCCATGTGTGCAAGTTCATGTTCATATGCTTCACACGCCCATCAATGGACTGTGAGTACTGTCCAATGGACAGTACTCAAGAATTGGACTCAAGGATGCAGAGTTGATTAAACAGGCCAAACGCTGTAACTAGCAGGTGTTCGTGCCACAAAGGATGGACAGATTTTAAAAGTAGGACTGTTTTCCTTTCAGGTTCCCCAAGTTTCATGTCTCCGCCTCTCCTTGCACCCCTTTGCCATGTTAACAGCACCCAAAGCAGCAGAATACGCCCGCAAACAGAGTAAGCCTGGTTACTTTCATCTGCTTAGAGGAATGTAAGTAAAACTAGGAGATTAGGAAATAGCCTCACCAGGTAAGGTCAAAATTGTCATGGGAATTCGATTTCTGTGTCTGGTTGAATTTGAAAGAACGAGGGGCTCTTAGGGCTTAATTTCCCTCCATTACTGAAATCAAGGAAGTCTTATTTCTCAGATGCTTTGGTAATGGGAGCAAAGCACTCCAGAAGCAAAGGATCTAAAACTGTGGGCGGGCTGGACAGGGTAGCTCACACTGGTAATCCCAGTGTTTGGGAGGCCGGGCTGGAAGGATCTCTTGTGTGCCCAGAAGTTTGAGACCAGCTTGGGAAACTTAGTGAAACTTCATCCCTACAAAAATAAACCGGGCACAGTGGCTCATGCCTGTGATCCTGTAATCCCAGCACTTTGGGAGGCCGAGGTGGGCGGATCACCTGAGGGTAGGAGTTTGAGACCAGCCTGGCCAACAGGTGAAACCCCATCTCTACTAAAAATACAAAAATTAGCTGGGCGTGGTGGCGGGCGCCTGTAATCCCAGCTACTTTGGAGGCTGAGGCAAGATAATCTCTTGAACCTGGGAGGCAGAGGTTGCAGTGAGCTGAGATTGCGCCATTGCACTCCAGCCTGGGCAACAAGAATGAAACTCCATCTCAAAAATAAATAAATAAATAAATAAATAAATAAAATAGCTGGCCATGGTGGCACGCTCCTCTCGTCCCACCTACTCAGGAGGCTGAGGTGGGAGGGTTGTTAGAGCCCAGGAGGTGGAGGCTGCAATGAGTCTTGATGAAACCACTGCACTCCAGCCCGGGCGGCACAGCGAGACCTTATCTTAAAAATAATTAATTAATGAAATTAAATTAAACGAAACTGTGGACGTACACATTTTTTTTAAAAGTTTTATATATAGATATGGTTACTACATCTGTCTGTAGGTGTCAAGTCAAGAAAGGGAACAACAAATAAAAATGCCACCAGCAGCTCTACAAAGGAAGCAAATGCCACGGAATGGAAATCATCACAAAGGTTTTCAGACACACAGCCAAAGAACAAAGTAGGTGTGAAATTGTAAATTGGACCAAACTGATACCAGCTATTTTGGGAGTACTTTCCTGATAGCGTGGTTAAAAGTTTAGCCTTTGGAGTCAGATGCTCTGGGTCTGCGCCATTGCACTCCAGCCTGGGCAACAAGAGCGAAACTCCATCTCAAAAATGAATAAATAAATAAATAAATTAAATAGCTGGCCGTGGTGGCACGCTCCTCTAGTCCCACCTACTCAGGAGGCTGAGGTGGTGCCTCTAGAGCCCACTGCTTACCAGCAGTGTGACAGCAGGCAAGCTAAACTCTCTGTGCCTTAGTTTCCTCCTCTGCAAAACAGGAAGAATAATGATACCTACCTCTTAAGGTTGTTGGGGTGATTAACCGAGATTATTCATGGTAAAAGTTTAGAACAGTGCTTAGCACGGAGTAAACCCCAAATAAATACTAGCCATTATTATCTTTTCAGCATTTGAAAAATACTATCCACAAGTTAATTGGCTGTTACTCTGTTGATGCAAATAATACGTTGAGGAGAAAGTTTGTATTAATATCTGTATCCAAAATGTTCCTATTCTTGATTCCTCTCTCAGTAATAATAATTTTCTTTTTTCCTGCTTAATGTCTCCCCTGCTCCTGCCCATCTGATTCCCGATTTTTATGTGGCAGAATTCAGAGAATGGTCAGAGACGGACAGGGCTGGAAAGAAAGGAGACAGGGAGGAGGGCTCTTTGTTCTTCCAGCTCTGGGCTCTCAGCTGTAACGTGCAACGTGAAAAGAAAATTTCAGAAGTCAGAGAGACTTCTCTGATTAAAAGAATAAAAGCTGAGAGGGGAGAAAATCAGAAAAGTGGTACAGGGTGGGTATCTGGGATATTTTAGAGTTTTGTTGAATGGGAAATGTTAGATATGCTGGAAGGCTGTAAGGTAGAAAGGGGGAAGGGAACTTTGAGAACTGATATGCTGACTTATGATTGGGTTTGCATCAGGAAACAAGTGACAATTGAAATTTATTTTTATTTAGTTTGGCTGTTGTGCCATCCATTTTTAAACTGAATCTCTGAATAGACTGGACTACATGAGGCTTAGGATTTATTCAGATTTCAGAGGCAAACTATCTTCTCTGTCCCTTATATCTGATTAATTATAAATGTAACCTTATCATAGCAACTGCTTTAGCAACTGACTGAATTCTTTGGTCATATCAGGGTTTTAATAAATGTTATTCTGATAACAGAACAACTGCACTATTTGGAAATTGTCACCATATTCAATTTTCTTTCAAACGTATTTGCTATAATAAGATTTGAAGGTATTGGATTTTTTTTTCTTTTCTTTTTTTTTTTTCCTTTTTTTTTTTCTTTTTGAGACAGTCTCGCTGTGTCACCCAGGTTGGAGTGCAATGGCACAATCTCAGCTCACTGCAACCTCCACTTCCCGAGTTCAAGTGATTCTCCTGCCTCAGCCTCCCGAGTAGCTGGGATTACAGGCATGCCCCACCACATATGGCTAATTTTTGTATGTTCAGTAGAGGCGGGGTTTCACCACGTTGTCCAGGCTGGTCTCAAACTCCTGCCTCAGCCCCCAAAAGTGCTGGGATTACAGGCATTAGCCACTGTGCCCGGTCGAAGGTATTAGACTTTCTAGAACTATAGCTTTGTTTCTGAAGAATTTTTTGAAGAATTTGAAAAATGAGGTCATTTTTTATACATGTTTGGAAGCAGCAAGTTTTAGAGAGCAAAACAAAGGAACAATGAAAAAAACAGTAACAACTCCAGAAATCACACACACACACACACACACACACACACACACAATCTAGACTTCAAACTTAATCACACACACAAAAAGATCTCTGAAATAGGGGTTTACAGAAAACCCCCAAAGCCTCATCAATGGACCCTATGTAAGGAAAACCTACCCCTAAACATTACTCATTGGTATCTTATTTTTAAATATAATTTTGTTCCATATATGTTTTCTTCCACAACCACTGAAGATTGCTGGATTCTTGATGGAAGCATATCTTTTATTTCCTTAGTATTTCTCACACGTATATGAAGTACTTTGCAGGCAGCAGAGATTCAGTAACTATTTTTATTTAGTGAATTGGCAGTAGGTAGTAAGTGAAGAGTCCTTAGGTGACGGTTCTCAAATCTCTGTACCCTGTCTATAGTATCAAAGGCTCAGTTCTGGGGACCAGACCTTTCTATAGGCTGACTGATGCTTGCGAGCCCAGGAGTGTCAAAAGAAAAAACGCCCATGTTTTAGTAGGGCCCCAGGCCCTGAGATGAATCCCTTCCAGAAAGGCCCTTTCTTAACAATCAAACGACAGAAAACCCTTTGTGTTTTTTCTTTCACACTTTATTATTTGTGCATTTTAGGCATTTTTTCAAACTCTTGGGTAATGTATCTTTTAAACTAGTTTTAAAAATTTTAATAGTGATACATGCTTATAAGTAAAATTTTCAAGCCATACAGAAAATATAAAATGAAAAGCAAAAGAACTCCCTCTTCTTCACACCCCTTTCCCACTTTTCAGAAATAATCACTGTTAATATTTCTTGTGACATTTAAATATTTGCTACACATATACATATAAATATACATATATGTATGTCTCACTGGTTTTTTAGAATTCTTTCAATATTAAAGGAATAAATATTTTATTAAATGGATGAAAAACATGCTTTCACACCTTGGTATTTGAAGAATATTTTCATTTTAAATACTTGAGCTTAATATTTTTCCTTTTTGGCTTGTAGATATTATATGTCTTTTAGCTAAAGAACAATTTTTTTAACCTCAAGATAAAACAATGCCTCATTCAGAATTTTTTATTTATTTCCAGCCACCGAATTTCTTCATAGAGTAAGAGAAAATAGGAAATTATTTTTTAAAAAAAATCTTGGCCAGGTACAATGGCTCATGCCTGTAATTCCAGCACTTTGGGAGGCCAAGGCAGGCAGATTACTTGAGGTCAGGAGTTCAAGACCAGCCTGAACAACAAGGCAAACCCCATCCCTACTAAAAATACAAAAATTAGCTGGGTATGGTGATGCACACCTATAATCCCAGCTACTAGGGAAGCTGAGGCATGAGAATTGCTTGAACCCTGGTGGCAGAGGTTGTAATAAGCTGAGATTGCACCAGTGCACTCCAGCCTGGGCAACAGAGCGAGACTCTGTCTCAAAACAAACAAAGAAACAAACAAACAAACAAAACCCTCAGTGTTCTGGGAAACAGTTTGTTGTTTTTTTTTTTTTGAGATGAAGTCTTGCTCTGTTGCCCAGGCTGGAGTGCAGTGATGTGATCTCGGCTCACTGCAACCTCTGCTTCCCAGGTTTAAGCAATTCTCCTGTCTCAGTCTCCTGAGTAGCTGGGATTACAGGTGTGCAAACACCATGCCTGGCTAGTTTTTGTATTTTTAGTAAAGACAGGGTTTCACTATGTTGGTCAGGCTGGTCTCGAACTCCTGACCTCGTGGATCCACCCACCTCGGCCTCCCAAAGTACTGCAATTACAGGTGTGAGCCACCGTGCCCAGCTAGGGAACAGTTTTAAAGATTTTTTTTTTTAATTTCATTGTCCTGGGAAAGCGTCAGTAGTGGGCACATTACTAGGAAATAAATTTGGAATGAACAGGACCATACCAAAGAGCTAGAATACAGCACACTTCTTGAATCCAGGCTACCCACTTAATAACTTGAGTGAGTTACCTAATCTCTCTGTGCTTTAGTTTTTCATCTCTTTAAAAAGTCATGATAGTACCTACCTCATAGGGTTGCTACAAGCACTAAATAAGTTTTATGTGTAAAGGCTTAGAAAAGTGTCAGGACAAGCCGGGCGTGGTGGCTTATGCCTGTAATCCCAGCACTTTGGGAAGCCGAGGCGGGTGGATCACGAGGTTAGGAGATCGAGATCATCCTGGCTAACACGGTGAAACCCTGTCTCTACGAAAAAATACAAAAAATTAGCAGGGCGTGGTGGCGCCTGTAGTACCAGCTACTCGGGAGGCTGAGGCAGGAGAATGGCATGAACCCGGGAGGCGGAGCTTGCAGTGAGCCAAGATCATGCCACTGCACTCCAGCCTGGGTGACAGAGCAAGACTCTGTCTCTCAAAAAATAAAAAGAAAAGAAAAGAAAAGTGTCAGGACAGTGGCAAGCAATAATATAATCACTCTCTTTATCACCACTCATGAAAAATTCATGCTATCGTGGAAAGAAATGAGACATAGAGAGAGGACAATTTAAATTTAAATCCAAAGCAATACATCAGAAATTCAAAATAGTATCCTACAAGCATAATACGTAACTGCTAAAAGGCCAAAAACTGATTTGCTTTGGGTAGTACTGGTTAAGAGAAGTATAACTTTTAACGTGAAAATAACTTCAAACTTAGAGAAAATTTGCAAGAATAATATACAAAAAACCCACATATTCCTTTTATGCAGAGTCACAAATTGTTAATGTTTTGTTCTATTAGCTTTATTATGTTCTGTCTTTGTCTCTCTGTATATAGATAAAGATATATAATTTTTTTTCTGAGCCATTAGAAGTTATATATACTCTACCACTTTACCCTATGTCCCTAGGTGTGTATTTCTTAAGAACAAAGTCATTCTCTTAAATAACCGCAGAATAGTTATCAACTTCAGAATATCTATTATTGGTACTTTTATTTAATCTACTCTCTATACACCAATTTTGTCAATTGACCCAGTAATGTTCTTTTTAAGCTTTTTTTTTGCTTCTGTATAAGATCCTGTATGGGATCACATATTGTATTTAGTTGGGAAATATAACTCAATTTCCAAATATATCAGAATAATTCTACGAAAATTCCTTTGTAATTACATTAATCTAATCTATCTTTGTCAGTAAGTTAGTATCTGATATTTGACCTTAACTTCCTATAGACTTAAAGCTAATGTTTGTATCCATGTTAAATTGATGTGCTTGATACCAAAATCATCTTTTATTCTGCAGGTCACTTAGAAAATTGGAATTGTACCATGGAACTTCATAATAGATTCTCTGGGAGCAGATGAGAAGCATCATCTTAAAACCACAGCTTTTGCCAGTACATTTTTCTTTACAACTAGTTTTTGATATAACTGCATTGAAGTGTTATTTTTGATGTTGAGCTTTCTTCTTTTAGAAGCATATTACATGGCTACATTTTGTTAAAAAAAAAAAAGTATGATCTTATGCTACTTCATTGTGACTGGCAGACTGCTGGAGAATTCAGAGAGTATATAGTATTTCTGTATTAGAGCAAGCTGGCTTTGTAGCATATTTTACAAATGTGTGGCATTAAATATTGCACAGAGATGGAGTGGGAGGCAGATTTTCAAAGAGTTAATCCAAAATAAAATTAATCTGTCATTGATTGCCTTTACTGTGTTCTCATATGAAAAAACGTTTAAAACTCATTTCAATAAAGCATTAAAAGAAAACTGAATACAGGCTTTCTCTCAGTAGACTATAAAGACTACTAGGAGAGAAGATGTTCTGGTCTTTTAGTACCTTTCCAAAATGCTGATTAGGCACATGGCTTAGCCTGTCAATGTATGTAATAACAACTTGATCACATGAATGTCAGTGTGCATGCTACATTTCTTCAGGTTCTGGTGTGCCATCTGTCTACAGAACAGTTTTCATCAGCACGTGCAAAAACACAGATGGGGGGTGTAGACGTTTTCTGAAAATGGTGGTGTATTCTCATGCAGGGCTGGGAGACCAATGCAACGTTTTCCACACTGGGTTTGATTATGGTTGTAAGATTTACCAGTAGGCCTGCAGCTAATTAGAAGGGAGGCAAAGGAGGGAATCAGCAACCTGTGGTCCCTGCATGCACTGCTAGGTGTCTAGCTTCATAGGACGTCGCCCAGTTTTCTTTTGCCTAGCTCTGCTAGTTATTTTTTTCTTGGTAGCTATTGCTGTCTCTCCTTTTACCACCTGCGCATTTGCCTTACATGCTGCCTGAGGATTTTCACAAATGACATTGTGAATGTGTTGCTAGCTGTGGTCAAATACTCTTTTAGAATACCTCCGTGGGTCTAAAGCACAAAGGTGTTTGATTTCATCTTCCTACATACATGTGGAATGACAAAAGACAGTCTGGGGTTTGGAGTCTTCCTCCACCCTTGCACATCTGAGGAGTGCTTCTAAATCAATACGTTGGCAGCAATGGAGAAGGCTCTCAGGCAGTCACTTGGGTTCAATGAAACAGTGATACTATTGAAAGGAAAAACACAGGCAATCATCATGCTAATTTTAAAAAACAAAAGCAATGCTAGAAGGAGGGTGGCAGGGGGAGGGGAGTGGAAGGATCCTGCGTATTCTTCTGCTCTTTGAGCCTCTCACAGACTCTCAGGTTACCTTTTTATTTTCAGCTCAAGAAGTGTTTAATCTCCAAGCAAAATATACCTGCTTCCAGTATTTACTGCTTTTCACCAGCACCTCAAAGTCATACATTTAAAGATTGATTTTATTATTTTTTCATCTCATGAAATTGTTATCTTTATAATAGAATTTTTTTCCTGTCTGGCTGAAGATGGCAGATGTAATAGAAAATTAAGAAAACAGCAGCAAAAAACAAAATAAAAAAAATAAAGCTAAGATCTATAATCTTGCCATTTATTGATTACCATGATTGATATGTTAGTATAGTACACACTTCTAATCTTATGTTTTCCCTACCTAAATATACGCAAAATATTTTTATCAAGACTGTATCATACTGATGAAGTCATTTAAGAAATATAATTGTCTTTCAATTAGAGGATTTTCTGTTTGGGATTGTGTTGTTGCCTCTTCACAATTCATGTCCTTCTGGACCGCATATGCTTCCCATAAGTGACCTCAGATGGAACCACCAACCTCCATCTCAGCAGTTTCCATAGGCAAACATTGCAGAATGCTGGGCATGTAATGTATTTCTAGTGAGCTGCATAGGATGAGAAGTGCGCCCTTTGTCTCCAAGGTCATAATGGCTCTGCTGACTTTAATACCTTTCACTGGAGCTAGTGAGGACAACTCGAAAATGCCAGAAAGAGAGAGAGAGAGTCCCCTGCCCCATGATCTCAAATGGAAAAAAAAAGAGAGAGAATACAGAAATCCCCCTATGCACCACCCCCAGGTCCCTTTTGTGTTGTTTTTGCCAACACAGCAGCTTTCCTGCTATATATACCAGCTGCCCCTTTGTCCCCATCATACTACATGCTAATCACCCTCTGTCAACAACCATGGGGAAGGTGAGCCTGTGGAGATGCTGTGCCATGTCTATTGGGGGTCTGGGGTGTGTGGGGATGTTCCTTCCAGCTGACTGTCTACTGTCACCTTATTTCTACCTCAGATCACCTTCTTCGAGGACCGAGACTTTCAGGGTCGCTGCTACAATTGCATCAGTGACTGCCCCAACCTGCGGGTCTACTTCAGCCGCTGCAACTCCATCCGAGTAGACAGCGGCTGCTGGATGCTCTATGAGCGCCCCAATTACCAGGGCCACCAGTACTTCCTGCGCCGAGGCAAGTACCCCGACTATCAGCACTGGATGGGCCTCAGCGACTCGGTCCAATCCTGCCGTATAATTCCTCATGTGAGTCTTGCTTCAACCTGACTGATGTGAAAGCATCAATGATCCATGGCCATCAATTCCTGCTTATAAAAGTCAGTTTGCTCCAACTCAGCATGAGTGTTCACAACAAGGCCTGACCCTCAAGCCTTAAAAACACAGAACAAAACAAAACAAAACAATAATCTCTATTTCTCCTACTTAAGCACATCAATAATTGTTTTAGGGCATGGGAAATCACAACATAGCCTTTAAATTAAACTTGGTAGCATCTAGATGATCCCTAATTTCTACATAAAAGTCACCTTATTCAGTAATAAAAAAAAAAAAAGAAAGAAAGAAAGAAAGAAAATGAAAAGTCTCTCTAGTTTATCTAGATAATTTTTTTTTTTTTTGAGACAGAGTTTCACTTTTGCCCTTGTTGCCTAGGCTGGAGTACAATGGCACAATCTCAGCTCACCACAACCTCTGCTTCCCAGGTTCAAGCAATTCTCCTGCCTCAGTCTCCCTTGTAGCTGGGATTACAGGCATGCGCCACCATGCCTGGTAAATTTTGTATTTTTAGTAGAGATGGGGTTTCTCCATGTTGGTCAGGCTGGTCTCAAACTCCTGACCTCAGGTGATCCGCCCACCTCGGCCTCCCAAAGTGCTAGGATTACAGGCATAAGCAACTGCACCCGGCCATGATAATTATTTTTTAATGATAAAAAGTTAACAGACTATGGGATAACATATAGGTATAATCTACTCTGACTGCATTGGAAATTTTTTTCACTACATTCTGGGACTTACTAGAACCTAGGAAAATATGTTTCAACTTGTGTGGATTTATAATTTCCAGGAGTCATTATCAACTAGTTTCTTACAAATACCAGAGACACACAATTGATTAGGATTTCATAGAACATGGTCCTCACCAAAATGCTGCTTAATCTTTTTTAATCACATGCAGCATGTGTTTACACTTTCTGATGGCACTAAGTTATGTGGTGTGGCAAGGAGATTCAAGAATTGAAATCATGGCCAGACTTAGTGGCTCATGCCCGTAATCCTAGCACTTTGGGAGGCCAAGCTGGGCAGATCACTTGAGGTCAGGAGTTCAAGACCAGCCTGGCCAACATGGTGAAACCCTGTCTCTACCAAAATACAAAACATTAGCCAGGCATGGTGGTGCGTGCCTGTAGTCCTAGCTAAGCAGGTGGCTAAGACAGAAGAATTGCTTGAACCCAGGAGTCCGAGGTTGCAGTGAGCGGAGATCATGCCACTGAACTCCAGCCTGGGTGACAGAGTGAGACTTCATCTCAAAACAAACAAACAAACAAACAAAAAAACCAAAAAACAAATTCAGGCTAAAAAAATATGCAGATGCACAAAGAGGTATAAATAAAATAGGCATTTTTGGGGGACAAGAAACTCAAATGGCACAAATGACCTGGCAAAATGTCACTTGAAAAGACATGTGGACTCAGTGTAAATATAAATCACTGTAAATTATAAGTGCAAAAAGTGATTCAAAAACAAGCTTGATAAGACTCAATTATATGGAGTAAAAATGGATATGAGAGTTGAAATCCTCACTACAGACTCACTGACTACAATTGTATTGATGGTTGCTTACAAAGAATACACTTTTATTCCCTATATTTTAATGTTTGTTTCTTCCACAACATCTTCAGTTCACTGATCAGGTCAGCTTTATTTTAATATTTTTCCTAATTTGTTAGAATAACAACATTAAAAGTGGGTTCAGGGGAGAAACACTTTATCAACTGGTTTAAAAACCATGTTTCAACCAGGTGCAGTGGCTCACACCCATAATCCCAACATTTTGGGAGGCCAAGGTGAGAGGCTCACTTGAGCCCAGGGATTCAAGACCACCCTGGGCAACATAGTGAGACTCCCTCTCTACAAAAACAATTTAAAAAATAAATTAGCTGGGTGTCATGGTGCACACCTGTGATCCCAGCTACTTGGGAGGCTGAGGTGGGAGGATCGCTTAAGCCCAGAGGTGAAAGTTGCAGTGAGCAGTGATCCTGCCACTGTACTCCAGCCTGGGCAACACAGCAAGACCTTTATCTCAAAAATAAAATAAAAAATCACGCTTCATGAAGATACAGACCGATTGTGTCACTTTCGTTGACACCCAAGGATGCACGCTGTTTATTTTTCTTCTTTTGTTTATTGCCATGACAGACCAGGTCTCACAAGTTAAGGCTGTATGAGAGAGATGACTACCGAGGCCTTATGTCTGAGCTCACTGATGACTGCGCCTGTGTCCCAGAACTCTTCCGTCTCCATGAGATCTATTCCCTCCACGTACTGGAGGGCTGCTGGGTCCTCTATGAAATGCCCAACTACCGGGGGCGGCAGTATCTGCTGAGGCCTGGGGACTACAGGAGGTACCACGACTGGGGGGGTGCAGATGCCAAAGTCGGCTCTTTGAGACGGGTCATCGATTTGTACTAAGCTGTGCCTGCCTTGTTATGATCCACATAGAAACAAAATAAATATACAAATTGTGTTCCCCGCACTAAGTGGCTCTTGCTTATCTTTATTTATTTATTTTATAATTTGTTTTGTTATGGAGTCTCGCTCTGTCACCAGGCCGGAGTGCAATGGCGCTATCTTGGCTCACCGCAACCTCCACCTCCAAGGTTCAACCGATTTTCCTGCCTCAGCCTCCCGAGTATCTGGGATTACAGGCACCTGCCACCATGCCCAGCTAAGTTTGTAGTTTTAGTAGAGACGGAGTTTCACCATGTTGGTCAGGCAGGTCTCAAACTCCCGACCTCAGGTGATTCGCCCCCCTCGGCCTCCCAAAGGGCTGGGATTACAGAGGCGTGAGTCCATAATACAGGACCGCGCCCAGTCCTTGTCTTTAAATAATAACTGAATTCTAATAGATGGCCACCCCTGGCAACTTACTTGACCCTGAAAGATGTTTTGAATGTCCACTCACTTCCTAGTCAGGCAACGGTATTAACAGAATATCCATCCCTGTCATGTAGAGAGAAGCGACAATTTCTACCTTTCATGACCTACAATCTGAAGGAAAGAACGATGAGCATAACAAAAAATACTTTAGAACTCACAGAAAGGAAAAAATACAGGACCCATTGTGGCTTGTGACTGGAATGCCAAACACAAGGGATTGCTGGAAGGATTAGGGAAGATGAAGTCTCAGGGGAGGTTTTAGTCAAGTGAAAATGCGGGCTGGGCGCGGTGGCTCGAGTCTGTAATCCCAGCACTTTGAGAGGCCGAGGCGGGTGGCTCATTTTTGCTCAAGATTTCAAGACCAGCCTGGCTAATATGGTGAAACTCCGTCTCTGTAAAAAATACAAAAAAATTAGCCTGGCGTGATGGTGCATGTGAATGCCTGTAGTCCCAGCTACTCGGGAGGCTGAGGCAGGAGAATTGCTTGAACCTGGGAGGCGGAGCCTGCTGTGAGCTGGGATCGTCACCACTGCACTGCAGCCTGGGCGATAGAGCGAGACTTCATCTAAAAAAAAAAAAAAAAATACAGAGAGAGTGAGAGAGAGAGAAAATTCATGAAGAGTTTTTTGTTTTGTTTTGTTTTTTTGAGACAGGGTCTCAAGAAACTGCATGAGGAAGACAATATTTAAAAGAAGCTGGGCAGAGATTAGGTGATGCTGATGTTCAGAGAAAGGAGAGATGAGTAAGGGCTGGATCTGAGAAGCGATGTCCTAGGAAAAGGACCCTAGGCGGCCTTAAAGATTGGACGGGATTTGGCAAGCTTTAGGGGAAGGGAAGGTGTTCTTTCTAGGCTTAGGGAACAACTCCCATCTGCAGGCCCAAATTTTCGTGGACACCCTGAATCTAGAAGGCAAAACAAGAAAAAAAGTCTCCCTGGTTCGCCCTTCTTGGCTGCCAAAATTTTAAATCAGATATACCCACAGTTTTCAGGGTGAATTTTGTCTACTCTCACTGCTTCTGTACTTAACCACAAAAGTTCAATAAAACAGTGAGGATGAGGACTTTTCCAATGCTTCAAAGACCTCCAAAGCGCTATTATAGAAAGGATACACAGCTTTAACACAATGAAGAATAAAACTTAAAATATGCACAAGCGCGCACACACACACACACACACACACACACACACAGTCTCTCTCTCTCTCTCTCTTTCCCAAGTCTCTGTTACAGCTGATGAACAGCCCTGGCTTTTGCATCCTCAGTCCTCTGGCCACAGTGAGATGAGTTTAGAACAGGGTCTTGTCATGAACTCATGGTAACGTGTTCTGGGGAGGATTTCCCCACTCTTGGCATATTCTATTGCAAATGATCACTTGTGAGTGCAACAGTGACCACTCTGATCTGCAGTCCTGCTTCAGCTGCAGCAACCTGGTTTATACAAGTGGACAGCAAGGGCTGGACGCTCTGCTGGGGCAGATACATCAACCACCAGCACAGGTGGACTTCAACAACTCCATCTGCTCAGACTGCACAGTCCCCACATAGGTTACTCTTCCTCATAGTCATCATTGACTATGATATCAAAATTACCAAACAAAAGATCTTTGCTAAATTAAACAAAAGTGTTCCAATATATGAAATTATCCATCCAGGAGTTGTGGCTCATGCCTGTAATCTCGACACTTTGGGAGGCCAAGGAGGGCAAGACCCAGGAGTTCGAGATCAGCCTAAGCAAATGGTGAAACGCCATCTCAACAAAAATAAAAATAAAAATTAGCTGGGTGTGGTGGTGCATGCCTGTATTCCCAGCTACTCAGGAGACTAGATGGAAGGACCGTTTGAGCTCAGGAGGTCGAGGCTCAGCTTTGGTCGTGCCACTGCACTCCAGCATGGACAACAGAGTGAGACCCTGTCTCAAAAGAAAAAAAAAATGAAATTATCCATTGATCACATTTAGTCTCTATACCATAAACCAAAGTGTAGGCAGTATGGCAGAGCCCAGAAACAGGCCAGGCACAGTGGTTCACGCCTATAATCCTAGCACTTTGGGAGGCTGAGGCAGTAAAGTCAGTTGAGGCCAGGAGTTTGATCCCTGTCCAACATAGAGAGACCCTGTCTCTACTTTAAAAAAAAAAAATGCATAGAAACACGTATTTTTAAAAATTTTTTAAAAATTTCAACTTTTACTTTAGATACAGAGGGTGTATGTACAGCTTTGTTATATAGGTATGTTACACCCAGGTAGTGAGCATAGTACCCAATAGGTAGTTTTTCAGTCCACACACCCCTTCCTCCCTACCCCCTCTAGTAGTCCACAGTATCTATTGTTTCCATGTTTAATGTGTGTTCAAGGTTTAGCTCCCACTTATAAGAGAGAACATGTGGGATATGGTTTTCTGTTCCCTTGAGATTATGGCCTCCAGTCCCATCCATTGTTGCTGCAATGGAAAGAATTTTTTGTTTTTATGGCTGTGTAGTATTCCATAGTGTATATGTACCACATATTTTTATCCAATACACCATTTATGGGCACGTAGGTTGATTCCATGTCTTTGCTATCATGAACAGCATGGTGATGAACATACGAGTGTGTGTGTGTCTTTTTGGTATGATGGTCTATTTTCCTTTGGGAATATACCCAGTAATGGGATTGCTGAGTTGAATGGTAGCTCTGTTTTAGGTTCTTTGAGAAGTTTCCAATCTGGTTTCCACAGTGGCTGAACTAATTTACAACCCACTAACAGTGTATAACTGTTCCCTTTTCTCCATAGCCTACCAGCATCTGTTGTTTCTTGGCTTTTTGATAATAGCCATTCTGACTAGTGTGAGATGGTATCTCATTGTGGTTTTTATTTGCATTTTTCTGATGAGTAGTAATGATGAGCATTTGCTCATATATTTGTTGGCCACTTGTATGTCTTCTTTTGAGAAATGTCTGTTCACGTCCTTTGCCCATTTTTTAATGAGGTTATTTGTTTTTTTCTGCTTGTTGAACTGTTTAAGTTCCTTATAGATCGTGGATATTAGACCTTTGTCAGATGCATAATTTGCAAATAATTTCTCCCATTCCGTAGGTTGTCTGTTTACTTTGTTGATATATGCTTTTGTTGTGCAGAAGCTCTTTAGTTTAATTAAGTCCCACTTGTCAATTTTTGTTTTTGTTGCAGTTGCTTTTGGGGACTTAGCCAAAATTCTTTGCCAAAGCCAATGTTGAAAAAGGTATTTCCTAGATTTTATTCTAGAATTTCGTATTTTGGGGTCTTACATTTAAATCTTTAATCCTTCTTGAGTTACTTTTTTTATATGGTAAAAGGTAAGGGTCCAGTTTCAATCTTCTGCATATGGCTAGCCAGTTATCCCAGAACCATTTATTGAATAGGGAATGCTTTTCCCATTGCTTGTTTTTGTCAGTCTTGTTGGAGATCAGATGGTTTTAGGTGTGCAGCTTTATTTCTGAGTTTTCTATTCTGTTCCACTGGTCTATGCGTCTGTTTTTGTACCTGTATCATATTTTGGTTACCGTAGCCTAAAAATATATATAGTTTGAAGTTGAGTAGTGTGATGCCTCTGGCTTTGTTCTTTTTGCTTAGGATTGCTTTGGCTATTTGGGGTTTTTTTTGTTTTTTTGTTTTTTTGGTTCCATATGAATTTTAGAATACATTTTTCTAATTATGTGAAGAATGACATTGGTAGTTTGGTAGGAATAGGGTTGAATCTGTAAATTTATTTGGGCGGTATGGCCATTTGAACAATATTGATTCTTCTAATCCATGATCATAGAATATTTTTCCATTTATTTGTGTCATCTCTGATTTCTTTCAGTAGTGTTTTGTAGTTTCCCTTATTATAAAGATATTTTACCTCCTTGGTTAGCTGTATTCATAGGTATTTCATTTTCTTTGTGGCTATTGTAAATGGGGTTGTTTTCTTGATTTTACTCTCAGCCTGGATGTTATTGGTGTGTAGAAGTGCTACTGATTTTTCTATATTGATTTTCTATCCTGAAACCCTGCTGAAATCATTCATCAATTCTAGTCGCCTTTAGAGGAGTCTTTAGGGTTTTGTAAGTATAGAATCATATCATCAGTGAAGAGAAATAGTATGACTTCTTTTCCTATTTGGATGCTGATATGGTTTGGCTGTGTCCCCACTCAAATTTCACCTTGAGTTGTAATAATCCCCATGTGTCAAGGGTGGAGCCAGGTAGAGGCCACTTTTTGCCATACTACTCTCATGATAGTGAGTAAGTCTCATGAGATCTGATGGTCTCATAAATGGGAGTTCCCCTGCACAAGCTCTCTCTTGCCTACCGCCATGTAAGATGTGACTTTGCTCCTCATTTGCCTTCAGCCATCATTGTGAGGCCTCCCCAGCCGTATGGAACTGTGAGTCAATTAACCCTCTTTCCTTTATAAATTACCCAGGCTCAGGTATGTCTTTATTAGCAGCATGTGAACAGACTAATACAGACGCCTTTTATTTCTTTCTCTTGCCTAACTGCTTTGGTTAGGACTTCCAGTACTATACTGAATAGGAGTGGGGAGAGAGGGCATCCTTGTCTTGTTCCAGCTCTCAAGGGAAATAGTTCTAGCTTTT